AATACTTAAGTGGACTGAGGAACAAATTTTAGTTAGTAAAATAATTTTAAAATTTACTTAATTATGATATTTTACGATCACGTGTATAGCACGTGCGTAAAACCTTAGTCTACAACAAACAGAGGAAGTATTGTGTTTTTCCCATGAATAATCATATAAAATATTTTTGGCAAAAGGACCGTGTAATTATCACCGAAATTCGCGAATGAGACCCTACTGTACGTGCTATGTTTCACATTGACCCTATGAGCGAAATGTTTTGACTGCTTTGTCGAGAAAAAAAAGGAAGATGAAAGTTGCTTTTTTACAAATAGACTGGTGACGGTAAAAGAGGCAATAATAATATCATAAAATAATATAATTCACTTTAGGGGTTATGTCTGGCGACATATGGACTTACAGAGGGGTGGGTATGTCCTGCAACAATGAGGACTACAAAGCTTCTGTCCTGGCTGCAACACATAGGAAGAGGGGGCAAGTCCTCTCAATTTGTCCATACTAAAGGTGTCTATTGGCGATTGACTCCAAGAAAATTTGGCATAAAACTTATAAAGGGTCCCTCATTACCATTCTGATCCATGTCTTCTATTGCACTAGAATTGCAGCCGTCTAGATAAGTATATTTGAATGAAATATGCGTATCCTTTAGAAATTATTTGTTCCTCATGTTTAGTGCAAATTTTAAACTGGAAAGAACATCGATACTGGGCTGCTATAAGTGTCGACACGTTTATGATATTGTAGTATCAACGATTATCTCTCACCTTCTAACTATAGACAAAAATTTTGAAACACTTTATTGAGTTGAGAGCTTCCACCTGTAGTGTACAAAGGATACTACATTGGCACAGTACAGAATTGAATCAGAATAAAAAGAGAACAATTGAATCAGATAAGGGGTTGTTTGGTAGCACTTCCGAAAAAAAGAAACCAGAAAACAACATTTAAAACTATTTCTGGATATTTTAGAGGGTTTCCCCATTTGATTTATTTGGTTTGTTTCCACGTTTAATATAGGGCTAGGAAATAAAGAAATCTATTTCTTGGGTGTTGTTGACATCCAAAAATTAAGAAATATCTTTCATCTGCCGGTTTCAATAGTGTGTTTGAGCAATTAAATATACATTTTAAATCAGGCAGTCGTCTATTTCCAACTATCGCTTTGAGCAATTAAAATTTTGTTCTGAATTGATCATTTCTTACCCATTTAGCCATTTTGGTAACTGAAATGAGTTTTCTAGAAAAGTTCAACGGTGGCATACCCCATTTCAAGACCCTTATTTCTTTAAATCAGCACAGCGAACCAAACACGGTGAATGGAAATGTCTTGAAATCAAATCTTGATTGTGACGCTGTTGTCAGATTTCAAATCCTCTTTCCCATTTCTCTTCTTTTTTAGCAAACAATAGCCCCTAAAAAGAAAACAGGGAGAGAAGAATAGTTAAAATTGAAGCCTGTCATTTTCTTACCTATACATTAGAAATACAAGGTTCTAGTAACAATAATTATGACAATTCAATGTCGCCGCAGCTTCGGAAGGGCATCGATGCAATTATATAGACCTAAGATAATACTAGAACAGCAAGGTCAGATTATTAAGGCAAACGCCTAATTTGCAAAGAAGGACCAGTAAAATAGCTATGATACCACCTGCAAGCGAGTGAACAAACAAGGATCCGGTGATTCAATCATGGCAAGGGTTGTAAATGTAAGTGTATTTGTGTAGCTATACAAAGTGATTACGAACAGTTAAGCAAGTAAAAGCTTCTGTAGATTTGTTTCAATAATATGAAATAAACAAACATATTGGTTGGACTATTTTTTGTGCAAACTGTTTTCCAAAAATAGTTTTCAAACTATGTATTTATTAATACTGTGTTTTTTACAAAAATTTCTTAGTAGCGTAGCGAAAGTTAAAAATTTGATATCAAGCAGAAAGTCATTGTTCGAGATTGCCCGGCAAGCCGAGAATTTCTTTATTTAATTAATACTCATAAAGTTCTGTGGTCGTAGGCTGTTGAGCTAGTGCGTCGTGGGCCAATGGCAAAGGGAATTCGAGCTAATCGGGCTGAAGACGCTAAAGTGAGCTTGTTAGGGCGGCATCTTTTTCACTTCGGCAGGCGGAGGTAGCCACGGTAGGCTGCTTCGTAGCATGTGGACGACCTCGGTTCGCAGAGGGTGGCGACGCCCCGTGTTCGCGTGCAGGTTGGACCACGGGCCTCAATTTGCGCAGGATCGTGACTCTCCGCGTTAGACGTTACTACCATGGGCAACAATTATAACATAACAATTGATAATTTGTTGCATGTAGTAAACGTCTGAACGCGAGAGTCACGATCCTGCGAACATGAGGGCCGGGGTGTCCAACGCTCACGCGAAACGGGGGTCGCACCCTCATGCGAACGGCGAGGCTCGTCACATGCTAGCGAACGCAGCCTACGTGGCTACCTCCGTGCGAAGTGAAAACGTGCGGCCTAACAAGCTCATTAGCGTCTCACCGATTAGCTCGATCCGCTTTGCATTGGCCCACGACGCACTAGCTTCACAGCCTACGACTACTAGAACTTATGAGTGATTAATTAATAAAAGAATTCTGGCTTGCGTTGGCAATCCTCGAACAATGACTTTGTGATATCAAATTTTACGTTCCGCACGCTACTAGAATTTTTGAAAAACCAGATTTAATAAATACATAGTTTGAAACTTATTTTGGAAAAACAGTTTTGACAAAAAATATCCAACAATATGTTTTTATTCATATTATTTGGAAACAAATCTACAGAAGTTTTAGTTGTTAACTGTTGCGGTATCAACTTTGGTATAGTACACAAATACACTTAATTAGCAGCCTTGCATGATTGAATACCGGGATCCTTGTTTGTTCACTCGCTTGAGGTTGGTATCATAGCGTTTTACTGGTCCCTTTGCAAAGTAGAGGTTTGCTAATAATCTGAACTTTGCTGTTCTAGTATCATCTTAAGGTCTATCGTAATTGCCATCGATGCTCCGAAGCTGCGGCGCAAGTTGATTGTCATAATTATATGTACTAGTAACTTGTATTCTAATGTATAGAAGAAAATGACAAGGTTAAAATTTAAACTATCTTTTGCTCCTGTTTTCTTTTAGGGGCTATTTTGTTTGCTATAAAAAAAGAGAAATGAGGATTGAAATCTGACAGACAGCGTCACATATGTTTCAAGACATTTCCAATTCACCGTGTTTGGTTCGTGTGGATATTAAAGAAATAAAGGGGGTGAATGTGGGGGTGCCACGTTAACTTATGTAGAAAACTCAAATTGTCAGACCAAAATGGGCTGAATGGGTAAGAAATGTTCAATCAACAAATTTTAAATTGGCTCAACACATAGTTGAAATAGCGACTAGTGATTAAAATGTAATATTTTGATTGGCTCAAAAAACTATTGAAACGGCAGATGAAATGATATTCTTAATTTTTGGATTGTCAACACAAACCAAGAAATAGATTCTTTATTTTCCACCTATGATTTCAATTGAAACACACCAAATTTTAAATCAAATGGGGAAACGTCGCGTCTAAAATATCCAAGAAATGTTTTCAAATGTTGTTTTTCTGTTTCTTTTTTCGCGAAGTGTTACCAAACAACCCTTAATCTGATTCACATTGTTCTCATTTTTATCTGATTCAATTTGTAACTGGTTGCAATTAGATCTGTTCGTCCACTACAGGTGAAGCTCACTGCATTAAAGTGTTTTCAATTTTTGTCCTATAGTGAAGGTGAGAGATAATTCTTTTGAATACTACAATATCCATAAACGTGTCGACACTTTAGGCATATCCATTTTTGCCCACGTTAAAAGTAGAGAAATTGGATTTTGGTATCAAATTGTATGTTAAATTGTTGACTTACATAGCTAGGAGGCATGCTTTTTTGTTATTGTATTTAATTTGGAAATTTCTTTGGTCATGAATATATAATTCAGTGGTCAATTTCAATTGAATAAATCAAGCACAATTGTTCAGATACTTGTAATACCCAAAACCCCTTTCTATGGTTTCGAGCTACTACAATGAGTTTTAGCTTCTACACATGCTTTTATTTGCTCGCCTATTTCAGGAAATGGTTGATCATGGGCTTCGTTAATTTTCTTCTTTTCATTTCGTCAAGTGTCTTGCTAGCCAATCCTATTTTCTATTGATGAGATAGGGATCAGTTGGGAGATATTAATTTTGATTTGAAAGTGTCGCAGCCTCCTTCCTCGGACACCGCCTCGAACGAGCAACAATGGAAGCCTCTTCTTCTCATGAAGTTATCTTGTCGGAGGCCGCTTCCTCGAGCGAGCGACAATTGCCGATAACAGTGCCTCTAATTGAGAAGGTAATAGATTTTACATGTGCTTAATTTTATTGTGGTTTAGAACTTTTTGGTTGATGTTTACTTGGAGGAAAGATTGGTTTTTGAATGAATTTATGCCCAAATGATATATGTCGGCAAATATTAGTTAGATTTTATGTCGGAATAATATATGTTGGCAAATATTAGCGAATTGTGAATATTTTGTGTATGTAAGTAAACTTCTAGGATAGATTTATTTTTATTTTTAAATTCATGGCTAATAAATTCATATGATGTTTTAATACTACAGAATTGTCGAATGGAGGATGACCAAATTAGTGATGATGATATTCCATTTGAAGGGAAGGAATTTCAGACGGACAATGATGCATACAACTACTACAATGCATATGCAAAGAAGATTGGGTTTGGAATTCGCAAAGCTACTTTGAAAAATCAAAGAAAGCTTCAGGAGAGATTCTTTCGAGGACTTTTGTTTGTGATAAAGCAGGGAGAAAGAGAGCATCGACTAAAAATGCAAGTGGATTGATTATCAATCGTCGTCCGGAAACTAAAGTTGGTTGTGGTGCAAAACTGAAGATTAGGCTTACTTCTTCAAAAGCTTGGAAGGTTACTAAGTTCATTTCTGAGCATGTTCATCCTTTAACAAGCCCTGATAAAGTAATGCATCATAATTCTCACAAGCAGCGACATCGATCGAAGCATTGCATTAGCCTCATTGAGTTGTTGCATGAAGAGGGAATGAGACCATCTAATATTAAAAAGGTGCTTAATGTTGGATATCAAGGACAAGATGTAGAACAAGTCACCACACAACAGATGATTGATCATATCAGAAAGACAAGGCAAAGTAACATTGGCTGTGAATGCTTACACATCATTAGACATTTCCAAGACAGAAAGGAATCAGATCCAGATTTCTATTTTGCTATGGAGGTCGATCACTTTGGTACACTGAGAAGTGTGTTTTGGGCCGATGGTAGAGCTAGAGCCTCTTATTTAAGTCTTGGAGATGTAGTTGTGTTTGATACCACATACAAGACTAATCAATTGAGTATGCCATTTGCTCCATTTACAGGAGTAAACCACCACCGCCAATCCACCCTCTTCGGTTGTGCATTGCTTGCCAACGAGCGAGAGGAAACCTTCGAGTGGTTGTTTTCGCAATGGCTCAAGTGTATGCATGGGGTAGCACCAAAGGCTATCATAACTGATCAGGATGCACAGATGAAAAAAGCTATTAAGAGCATTTTGCCAAGTACTCGTCATCGCTTTTGTTCTTGGCATGTTAGAAAGCATATTGCCGAGCAACAAGTAAAGTTGAAGAGCCAATACGGGGATGAGATGCCTACATATTTCAACAATTGGTATTCTGCTAGAAGTATAAGCAAATGCGAAGAGCGTTGGGAAGTCATGAAGGTTAAATTCAACATAAATGAAGGTGAAGATAGTTGGCTGACAAGAATGTATAGCTTGCGTGAACATTGGGTAGATGCATACTTGAAGGATTGTTTTTGTGCGGGAATGACAACAAGCCAAAGGAGTGAGAGCATCAATGCCTTTTTTGATGGCTTTGTCAATGCAAATACTAGACTAGTTGAGTTTGTGGGTCAATATGACAAGGCAGTGGCATCTCGTCGTGCATCAGATTCATGACTTTGAACACCGTGCCTACGATGAGCTTCTTGAATCCGATTGAAGAGCAAGTTGGAAATACATACACTAGAACGATCTTGAAGATGTTTCAAAGGGAGCTTGGTGATGTGATGTCATTACATCGTGAAGAAGTGTCACAGGAGGAGTTGAAAGTTGTATACTTGGTTGGAAAATATTTTGAAGACAAAGAGAATTGGGAAGAAGTAACCTATGAAATAAATAGCGAGCTTAATGTTGCATGCACTTGTTCATTTTGGGAAACTGAAGGGGTGCTTTGTAAGCATATACTAAATATATTGTGGTTAAACCAAGTGACTTCTATTCCCGATAGGTATATCTTGCCTAGATGGAAAATTGATGCAAGGTATAGAGATTTTGGCTTTGCTAATGCTATGAAGTTGCAACAAAATGATGATAGCATGGAGCGGGGAAGTATTATAAGATTATGGGCTTTAAGAGGAAATTTTAATGAATCACTTGATATGGCAGCTGGTTCGAATGATCTTCTTTCTAAGTTGGAGCTACAAATATCAAACTTCCTTGCAGAAGCAAGGGAGGAAGCAAGGCGCAATATGGCACAAATTATAGATTCTCAAGTTGAGACCCATGTAGATTCAAATACTCATGTGCTTCTATTGAAAGATGGTGAGGAAATTATGGTTCGTGATCCCCTCGGCCCTGTGAAACCAAAGGGACGTCCGAAAAATTCAACTAGGACTAAAAGTGGCTTTGAAGAATCAGAAAGGCAAAAAGAGGTGAGACAACGAAAATGTGGTCATTGTCAACAATTGGGACACTATAGGACGGGTTGTCAATTGTTGGTAAGTTCAATTTAGTTCATTTGTTTTACATTTTTTCATATATTATTTATTGTTTTACTTTTCTTGAAATATCACTAATTGATTTCTTTTTGTCTTTCATTTTCAGAAAAAGCAAAAGAGATAGTTTGTGAAGATTGTAGCTGAAGTTGAACATGGCATCTGTGGCTTAAAACTCTGATCCGAGCTCTGCTCCTTTTGCTGCTAACAAAAGATATTTATTGCTTACAAAGTATATATATGCTCTGAAGCCTAGTAGCATATGTGGATGTTTTCAACAACAGTTAGGTGTACTCTTCATCAATGTCATGGAGGAGGAAACCACTTTTGGGGGTTTTGGTGTTAGACATGTTATGTTAATTTTTTGGACTATGATTTAAGATGAATAGAAGCTGGTTTAAATTTTTGTGCAATCAAATGGTAGTTGTTGTTGAATTTGGCTTGAAAAAAATGCTTAAATGGTCTAATTGTACATTTTTGTGAGGTGGCTTCATTTCAAAGTTACCATAGGGTCCTAACAGAGGATAGAATGCGCCCGCCTCCTTAGCTGTGACCCAACGCCGCCATCTCCTTGGCTTCGTTTCAAAGATGATATGTTTGTTGCTAATTTTTATTTGCTTCGTTTCAAAGATGATATGTTTGTTGCTAATTTTTATTTACATAGCCAGAATGCTCAATTACCTGCTGTTGCTGCTACTATATTGAATGGAGATCAACAAAATTATTAAAATCTAAGCTGAAGAAAAGTAATTCATCATTGTACGCCACAATGCACATTATATAAGTTGCATGTTTCTTCAATCTAAACTTGATCTCATAGTGTCTTCCATTTCATGAAAGTTTCACTCCACAATGCTCCAAAAGGAAATGTCAGTTTCTCATATTACATGTTACTTGGACGAACTTTTTTTACAAATATTCATTTTATATCATTTTGTAGAGTATATATATACACATTTTGTAGAGTTTATATATCATTTTGTAGAGTATATATATACACATTTTGTAGAGTTTATATACATACACATGTATCCAAGATTAAATGGATAGATGCCATATACAATTAGGGTAGTACATTTTCTCTAAAACACAAAAGTTTCACACGTTATCTTGGTCTTCAAGTGATCGCTTCCGAGCCCTAAGGTTTTCCTCAAGACTTTTAGGCAATGGGGGTGTTCTTCCACGGCGAAATAGAACAGCAAGAGCCCTCATCCTATGGCAGGTATCAAAGACCTGCAAATGGTAATATTATTGACATCTGGGATAATAACAATTGATGCAAATTTCGAGTGTTCAAGAGCCTTACAGATGATGCCTCAAGTTCTGCAATACCATGTTTGATATGGAAAACCTCTCACAGACATTAACACAAACACTTAGCATGCAACATAATAATTTAAGCGAAAATGAAGGGAAAATTTACACCTTGAGCCTGTGATCTCCACCAACGATCAAAATACCTATTAGAGAGGGAGTTGTCGGGGCGGCGACGGAGTTGTCGGGGCGGCGGCGGAGTTGTCGGGGCGGCGGCGGAGTTGTCGGGGCGGCGACGGTGATCCCGCGGGGGAGATGAGAGATCACGGGAGAGCGGCGGCGTCGGAGATGGCCGAGACTTAAAGCGATGGCGTCGGAGATCTCGCGGGGGTGAGGCGAGATAACAGGGGCGCGGAGATGGCCGAGAGGAGAGCTACACCGGAGATGGCCGAGAGTCGCCAAGGAGGTGGGAGCGGAGCGGCTTTGGGGTCGCGGCCAAGGAGGCGGGAGCGGAGCGGCGTTGGGGTCACGGCCAAGGAGGCGGGCGCCGTTGGGTCTCGGCCAAGGAGGCGGGCGCGGAGGAGATGGCGCCGTTGTGGTGTTGGGGTCGTCGCCTCTAGAGAGAGGAGGTGGGGGATTTCAGATTTGAGTTTGTTTGAGAGAGAGAGAGAATTAGGATGGACGCACCAGAATGATGCCACCTCTAATACCCAAGTTCTTGAGAACTTGTGGTCAAGTTCCTTCCATTATCATAACAAATAATATATATTATATTATAAATATAAATTATAATATATAATTTAATATATACTTAATATTATATATATATATATATATATATATATATATATATCTTAATGAAAGAATACCTAACAATTACATTTTTCTTTTCCAAGTTTTAAAATTTTAGTCTTTTTGTGGTTTTGTATTTTTAGGGTGTGATTTACAATTTTCAAAACTTTAGGAGCATTTAAAAAAATATATTTTTAAGTTTGGTAGTTGTAACTTCTATGTTTTATATGTGAATGATATTTTTTAAATGTCACGATATTTTTTACAACTCTAAAATTTTGAGGCTATTTTTTGCAATTATTAAAACTACAAATTAACTTTTAAAAAATTCAAATTTTAACAGTCAATCAATAGTTTCCATATTTGATATGTACTAGTTATAAATTTTAAAAATATAGTTCTTTATGATTTTTAAAATTTGAAAGAGTTTTTTGTACAACTTTTGTAACTTTGAGGTTAATTTTAATAAATTTTAAATTTTTAGGTGTATGAAGGTAATCTCTTGAATTCATCTTTTGTTGTTTGTAAATTTTAAATTTTTTAAAAATTTAGGGTTGTTTTTTATAATTTGAACTTTTGAGGTTGTTTTTATAATTTTTGGGATATTAAGGGTGTTAATTGAAAATTTTAAATTCTTCAGAGGCTGCTATTAATATTTTGATTTCATGTTTGTTATTTTGAAATGTCAAAAAATTTTAAGTGCATTATGGTAATCCCTTGACTTCATCTATGTTGTTTGCAAGTTTTGAAATTTTAGAATTTCAGGTGCTTATTTGTAATTTGAACTTTTGAGGGTGTTTCTATAATTTTTGAGATATTGAAATGTTAACTGCAAATTTTAAATTCTTCATAAACTGCTGTTAATTTCTTAATTTCTTAATTTCTTAATTTTATGTTTGTTGTTTTAGGTTTTTAGATGTCGGGATAGTTTCTATAATTTTGAACTTTTCAAGGTATTTTGTGCAATTTTAAAACTTTTTAGGTGTTTTTGCAATACTTTATGTATTATAGTATGTTAGCTACGTATAATTTTTTTATCTTAACAAACTAATACCTTGACATGGCTAGGGTGTGGGACAGTTTATGATGATACAAACTCTAAAAATTTTTTAAATGTAATAATTACTCTATAGTGATACATATAGACTCTAGCTTTTGATGTATATGGGAGCTTTATGTAAGCTTCATATTTTGTATTCTCCATTACAGATCCTTCTCTTGAACAGTTAAGTCTAAGCTCTCATCTCCTTTTTTTTTCTCATCCGTCATAATAGGTGATGGCTATGGTCCTATCTTTGCTCTTAGGATTGGGACGCTTGAATAGGAATTAGACTACAAACTTCAAGATAAGATAGGAATTTTGGATTATTAATGAAATATGAACATGATATCTCACCCTGTTCCTTTCCATCAAAAAAAATAAAAATAAAAATAAAAGATTTACCACCATATAATGTCTTCGCCCTTCTTTTCGTGAGAAAATCTATGTTGAGCATGTTATGCAACTGTTTCACCTTCTTTAGCATTTCATCTTCTTCATTGTTGAGCATTGTCATGTAGTTGAGAGTTAGTTTATCTGTAAAGCTTTACTTAAATATCCTACAACTACAATTAAATATTTTTAATCTTTATTTAACCATAAAAGAACTATCATAAGACAGGATGTTTTGGGACAAGATAGAGGGTTCAATCTCACATTTAAAAAAAAAGATGCTCATTACTAAAAGAACTACACCATGAATTTCTAAAAGAACTACCATATGAACTTGGTAAAGAAACGTAAACAATAATGTTTTAATTTCAAGCTCTTTATAACATAAGCTTAATTTACTCTTTCACATCATTTGTTGGTATATAAACAATTCATCCAACGTTATAATTCAAGCTCAAATTATTAAAAAAAGTTCATAATAGTTCCATTGATTATGGATCAGAAACTAAGATTAAAGAAAAAGAAGTTAGATATTATATGTCTCAACAATTTAAGTATAAAGAACAAAGAAGTATAGACTTGTAACTATAAAGTATAGATATATAATATATGAATCTTTTCTACCAGTAATTTTTGCTATATTTGTATATGTCACTACAAACACGATATCTAAATGTTGTTAAAATTTGAAACGTGAAAGATGT